CCGCCTTGCTGGCTCATCGAGCAAGGTCTGGCTTAAAAATTTAACCTCAAGGCTATACCTTGGCCTCCACGAACATTTTTTTTTTCCATACAATATTTTGTTGTTGCGCTTCCGTCTTTAGTGCTCGATACTCTTTTTTTTGTTCCCTCGATCATCGTTCTTTCCTTCGACCGGGAGGTCTCGATTTAAGGTGGGAGGAATGTTAGGAATGTCTCTTAAAAGCACAAGAATTGCTTCACTGTTTTAGGTTCACAATTGTGCATTTTTTCTTTCTTAAAATTATATTATTTCCATTCCTTTTTCCCATCACCAATATAGTTCTTTTTTTATTGTTTAACAAATAAAATAAAAGAATTCAACCGAGTGTTAGAGAAATCGTCTAACAAGCTGGTGGTTGGACCTCGGGCTTATGAGCGGTCGCGGTAGAGGTTTTCACCAACAACCATCTCTTCGCCTTCCGCGCTCTTTACTACGAGTGCCTCTTTTGAACTTACAGTTCCATTACGAACAATTGCTACGACGTCTTAGAAGGCAAGAGCCTCGACGAACTGGTGGCACACAGACACTTTCATTTTGTTTCCAATTCGGGGAAACTGAAAGAAAAGCAACGCGACACCAGGACACCAAAAGAAAAGCCAGGAAAACAACACACGAACAAAAAACGAAAAAAACAGCCAGGACAATTGACATTTTAAGCCACTGAAGGATACGAAAAGACCAGCCAGGACAGCAGAACAGTCAAGGCAGGACCAGAAACCTGGGGAATTGAACGACAAAGCACCGACAAGCACAGATCACCAAAAGATCAGGCCAGGACAAGTCACAGTAAGAAAACCCTCATCATTTTGAATATGGTTATTTTCTACTATGCCCCTTGGACAGTTTGAACATTTTTTTAAATATCTCTTTCCGTATTTGAATCGCTAAGATTTAATCTTTTCTCCTTGTAACGGGGTAGGTTTAATACTGGTGTATGCAGAAATGTTTAATTACTTTTCCACTTTTATTTCTTAAACAGCTCTACTATAATTAAGATAGGTATATTTTTAATATCAGAGCTGTGAATTCTCACCTCAGTTTCCTATTTTTAATGGCCTACAGTTTATTGTTTCAGCTTTCTTAATTTTGAAATTCTTCCATCATTAAAACAGATGAGAATATTAAGTAGTTATCATTTTACTTTAAATATACCTTTTCTGCTCTTTTGCAATACTATTCAAATAATGTAAATTTAGTGAGCAATGGAACCTTGCACCAGTTTACTTGAGCAAGTACTTTGTAAAGCTTCTTCGATTACGAAGTTGTGTACAATAGAGGTCATGTCAGTCATTGGCCTGACCTAATAATAAAGTCTACTGTGGAACCAAAACGCTGTCATATCCTTGACGTCTGTAAAAGCTCGCTCGAAGCAGATCTCCGCAAACCCTGAAATCGTGCCGAGTTTCCTTTAGAGCATAACTAGACCCCAAAGTAGTAAGAGTAAAGTTGTCAGAAAAAGAGAGAAAGAAAGTTTATCAACAACACACTTAGTGTGAGATTTTTTTCTAACAGTTCTGGTATTTCCACCTGAATTGCCTGAAGCCGTG